CTTCAACCACTGGTGGTTCCAGCCCAACATCTCCTGGGAGTCCCAGCTCTTCAACCACTGGTGATTCCAGCCCAACATCTCCTGGGGGTTCCAGCCCTTCAACCACTGGTGGTTCCAGCCCAACATCTCCTGGGAGTCCCAGCCCTTCAACCAGTGGTGGTTCCAGCCCAACATCTCCTGGGAGTCCCAGCCCTTCAACCAGTGGTAGTCTTGGTCCCACAACTCCCCATGGCTCCGTTCCCATCCCCACCCCAGGTGGTCCTGGTCCCGTCCCTGCTGGCTCCAGCCCACACTCCCGGTGGCCCCATCCCCATCCCTACCTCGATGTCGGGAATGTTCTCCACCAGCTGCCGGGCGATGTCCTTGCAGCCGCCCTCCAGGGCGTCCGGGGGCATCTCCCCGTCCGAGTACCAGTCGCGGTTGGCAGAGTGGGCGTAGGCGGCGCTGGGCGTCGCGTGGGTCACGCGCGTGGTGGTGACGATCCCCACGGCCTTCCCTGCACCCCGAGCCCAGGGGACGACAGTGAGAACAGCCCCAAAGCTGCCGCTTCGCCTGCCCCCCGAGTGCCCCCCGGCCCTCACCCGCGTCCTTGGCCCAGCGGAGGATGGAGGTCACCTCCTGGCCCTTGGTGGTGTTGCAGCGGTCGCGGGTGACGCCGGCGCTGACCCCCAGGGTGCCCTCGTTGGCTTTGACACCGCACAGGTAGGCAGTGGCCGTGCCAGCGCTGTCGGGCACCTGGGCATTGGTGTTGTAGGTCTGGAGGGGTGGGAGATGGAAAAAACACAACTGTTATCACCACCATCGTTATCACCAGCGTTGTCACCACCATCATCCCCACCCACCATCATTATCCCCACCCTGGAGCTCCCCTCCCTGTGCTGTTTTGCCTGCATGGGCCCCCATCCCACCTGTGCCCCCCTCTTTTGCCCCTAAGCCCCTGTTTTGCCCCTCAGCATGGTGGCACAGCCCCCCCCTTCTTCATTTTGCTACTTTTGGCCTTCTTTCAGCCCGTTTTTTGGCGGGGAGAGCGAAGCCCCTGCCACAGGCACCCTCAGGGGGCAAACAGGGATGGCCATGACTTCCAATTTAGTTATAAAACCCACTGTTTTGTTCAGCAAAACGACCCCGGGCGAAGCAGGGGGGGGTCCCGTGGTGTCCCGCAGCCACCGGGCTCCTTCTCCCCCCCCCTCTGTTCCCATGGCCAGCCCTGGCACAGCCAGTGGGCACCGGACCAGCTCCCTGCGCCCGCCCCTGACCTAATTTCGGCTCGGTCGATGCCGCCCGCCCGTGACCTTGCGGTGGGTGCCGGGTCCCCGCGGGCTTCCCGGGGGGCTCACCTTGGCCAGGGCCACGTAGGGGAACTTCTCCATCTCCAGCAGGCTCTCCTCGCCCTGCCCGTGCTGCAGCTGCCCCTTGAGGATGCGGGCGGCCGTGACCGTGGAGACGCCCATGCCTGGGGGACCCGGGGCAGGGACAGCTGAGCACGGGCAGCTCGGCACACGGGCCGTGGTGACACCGGGCAGCACCAGACCCGTTCACACCAACCCTGTCTGTCCCAATCCACTGCAAACCCATCTTACTGCAAGCCCAGTTTACCCCAGCACTCAGTTTTCTGCCAGCCCAGTTTATCCCAGCACCCAGTTTATCCCAGCACCCAGCTTATTGCAAATCCAGTTTATTGCAGCACTCGGTTTTCTGCAAGCCCAGTTTGTTGTGCACCCAGTTTGCCACAGAACCCAGTTTATTGAAGCACCTAGTTTTCTGCAAACCCAGTTTATTGCAGCACCCAATGGTTTGCAAACCCAGTTTATTGTGCACCCAGTTTACACCAGCCCCTGGTTTTCTGCAAGCACAATTTATTGAGCCTCAATTTTATCCCAGCACCCAGTTTTCTGCAAGCCCAGCTTACTGTGCACCCAGTTTATCCCAGTGCACAGTTTATTGAAGCACCCAATTTTCTGCAAGCCCAGTTTATTGTGCATCCAGTTTATCCCAGCATCCAGTTTCATTGCAAACCCAGTTTATTGCAGAACTCAACTTATTGCAGCACCCAATTTTTTGCAAATCCAATTCATCCCAGCACAGTTTATCCCAGAACCCAGTTTCTCCCAGCACTCAATTTTTTGCAAACCTCATCTATTCCAGCACACAGTTTATTGCAATCCCAGTTTACCCCAGCACTCAATTTTTTGCAGTCCCAGTTTATCCCAGTACCCAGTCCATTGCAGTACCAAAATTCCTGCAAATCCAGTTTATCCAGCACCCAGTTTTTTTGCAAACCCATTAATCCCAGCACCCAGTTTATCGCAATCCTAGTTCATTGCAGCACCCAGTTTATCCCAGGATCCAACTTATTGCAACCCAGTTTACCCCAGGATCCAATTTATTGCAACCCAGTTTACCCCAGCTCCCAATTTCACTGCAAACCCAATTTATTGCAGCACCCAACTTACTGTAAATCCAGTTCATCCCAGCACCCAATTTAGCGCAAACCAAATTTAATGCAGCACCCAGATTTTGGTTTGCAAATCCAGTTTACCCCAGCAGCCAGTTTATTGCAAATCCAAGTTACCATAGCACCCATTTTTTTTGCAAATCCAGTTCATTCCAGCACCCAGTTTATCCCAGCCTCCAGCTTCTTGCAAACTCAATTTATCACAGCACCCAACTTCTTGCAAACTCAGTTCTATCCCAGCACATACCTTACTGCAAACCCAGTTTTATCCCAGCACCCAACTTCTTGCAAACCCAGTTTTATCCCAGCACCCACCTGCTTACAAACCCAGTTTTATCCCAGCACCCACCTGCTTACAAACCCAGTTTACCTCAGCACACACACCTTACTGCAAACCCAGTTTACCCCAGTACATACCTTACTGCAAACCCAGTTTACCCCAGTACATACCTTACTGCAAACCCAGTTTACCCCAGTACATACCTTAC